ACTTGGTTGTAAATTTGAAGCGCAGTCCGATGCGACAACAAAAAAAGTTCTGCGACGAGTAATATCATTAATTTCCATAGTCGTTTGTCAATCGTAGAAGATTCATTAGCAATTATAGATTGCTACGAACTAAAAGAACTTACATAGTACACTGCAGTATAAACATATAAATAGCTCAGAGAAAAACTGAAGACTATGTTATATCTGTAACTGGAAATTATTCTGTAACTAATGTAATCCGATAAAAAAAAGCTTTCATATTTGATATAAAAAATATCATAAATATCAAATACAAAAAAATATCAAATTTAATCTTAAAAGAAATAAATGTATAAAATAAAAAATATTGAAATATTGTCTAATTTAAATTTTTGAGATGTCAAATTAAACTAAAAATGAAGATACATATAAATAAAATATTGATATTATTAATATATGATTAATACAATGTCATTGTCTTGATGAAATATGAAAAACGTATATTCATATCATTCTGAATACTTATTATTTTTGGAGAATGGGGAGGAAGTCGAAATAACAACGCCGATCCCATTATTTTGTAATAATAAAATGTATTAAATAGATAGTGTTGGCAATACTTATCAAACTACATTTTACGTTTTCGTGTTACATGAGACTTTGACTCCGTATACTCCGTGTATACCGAGCGTGTTACTTTGCATAACAAAACAAAAGAAAAAAGATTATCGGGGAGAGGAAACGTCGGCTGAAGGTCTCGAAGTGGAAAAGCCGAAATAGTACAAAATGAAAAAAAAAATCCAAATAAAAAATCGACACACACGTTCTACCCTCTCCTTTTTTCGAGATCCCTGTTCGAGACAAACGGCACTCCGATTCCTCTTCCCGTTACAATTCTTTTTATAAGCCCGCGAGTCCTCTGACAACGAAAATCTAAACGCATTTCACGGTTATCATTGGTTATATGGTCCCATTGTGGATTAGACCGAAGCCGTTCGAGAATACCCGTTTAGAGACTCCATCCTATCTTTCGCAGAAGTTTCGACGATCGCCAATCATTCTTGACTGTCAAAAATTTCGTTTGTCCATATAAAATTAATTTCCTGTCACGGAAGAATACATAAAGTCAAACGAATTCACGACTCAAACAAATCAAACTCAAATGAAGTTTAAAATAAGGAAGAAACAAATGGCGATCGCGATAAATATAAATACATATATAGTTATACATATTTAGTATATAAGATATAGAACGGAGACACCACAAAAGCGGAACTCTCCCCACGAGTGGGTCCCAAACGACTTCCGCCAGCCTATCAATTGGCTCCCGTTGTTTCATTTCGATTGTCGCACAAATCTATAATATATATTTAGTATGTATCACCGAAGACACTTTTCTTTTCACAGCTGAATATCTTGCGCGCGAGAGAATACCTTTCTCCCGCGCGCGAGGATAATTGGCCGTGTATCACATTTGAGGCGTTAAGTATACGCGAAAAGCTTTCGCTTTCCTCTCTGTTTTTCGCTCTCGCCATACCTCCCGGCGAATATCTTCTTCGGCCGGGGGGGAAAAAAACGAATTGCGCTGGCCGACGAAAGGAAATCGGAAAAGGGACTCGGAAGCGTTACAAAGGAAGAAAACGGGTCGCGAAAACGTACGCGGGATGTCTGTCGCGCATATAATTGTATGTGTGCATGCGTATATGTGTGTACACATATTTACAATATATACATACACATACACACACTACGTGTATATGTTTCATGTGTAACATATATGTGTATGTGTCGTATGTATGCATGTGTGTGTGTATGTATGTGTGTGTATATGTGTGCACAGGCGGGATATATCGGTTTCCTCTGAGAGCCAAGAGATCGACCTGTTTCACATTACATCGTAACGCGTATTACATATAGCGTGTATCTAATCTGTGAAGAGCGCAGTATAAAATATTGTATAAATATATAAATACTTGATTGAAAAAATAAATATATTAAATTAAAAAAAGAGACATACACGTAAGATAGATTATTTGTTATTTTAATTATTTTATTCTTAGATATTCATACGCAGAAAAATATTAGATATTTGATATGCAGGTCAAAGTCTATAGGAGGATAAACGCGAGGCTGGCTGGATACATATGGAGGAGTCCAACGAATGCGAGTTCGAGTATTAACCCTTTAGTTGCGATACATGAGACGGCACTTTTCAATTGTTTGCAATAAACGAAATAGAAATGCACCGGTACGACATTCTACTCAAATTTACTATGTTTCTAGCTAAAATTAAATAATAATCTCATAAATTAACAATGAGAAAAACTTCAACTGATTACTTTATCTTAAAAATAGATTTGCTTTTGTTGGAGTTTTCTAATTCTGAACGCATACTTATGTATACGGCAACTAAGGGATTAATACGTTAATCCACTTAACAAAAGTTCACGGAAGATGAGTATATATGTTGCATTTAATAATTGATTTAATTTTAAAGAAAAAATTGAATTACATACCAATAAATCAAACATAGAAATATTTTTAACTTAATGAAATTTACTGTGTAATTTTTTTTTTCGAACGAAAATAAGCTGAAAATTTGGCGTTATCTTCCGCGTTAAGTGACGTAACGAATCTTATTCCACAAGAGCGTATGAGAATAAGAAGCACTCGAACTTAGAAAATAATTTTAATTCGATAATAACGATATACATTTAACTTAAATAATTTAATTAAAAGAAAATGTTGAAAATGATATTTGTTAAAACAAAAAAAATTTTTTAAGTTCGGTTATGCCGATCTCTCTCAATGATGAAAACAGAAAAGCTTCCGCTTTTTGCGAAAAAGAAAAAAAAGGGGATAAACAAAATATTTGCATGCATTCAGTTCATTTCAACATTGTAAAAAAGAATCTCGCAGGTCCAGCTAAAATTAAAGATAAGCAAAAAGACTCGAGAGATCGGCGATTCCCTGTTTCGTTTCAGCAATTAGAATCGAACGCGGCATCTCGGGGGATGCATTTTCGGGACTCCAATCATCCAGCCACGGTGCTTCGATTGGGACGCCGTCGTCGCTTCCATACGCGCCCGGCGACGATGTCGATCGCGAAGCATACGTCTCCACCTCGCGACGGACAACGTCGAATATTCGTAATTTTTTTTTTTCGTTTTTTTTTCTCTATAAAAGACTAACCGGCAAGAAGTTACTCTGCACTTTTTCCCGGTCCCATTGGTCCTCTTACGAGGCCTGGGCGTCTTGTAACTCGTCTCTGCGTAAGGAGAGACTTTCACTCTCCGCGTCTGTCTCTGTCTGTCCTCATCTCACTCTCACTCACTCTTTCTCTTTCTCTCTCTGTTTCCGTCCTCGATTTCTAATTGTACGACTGGCACAACGGTGAGGATTGAAGGCGTTACTTTAGCAGCGTTTCAATTGCATTTTCCCTCATTTGAGTTAAAAAAAACTTGCACACGTCGCAATTAAGTATGTCGCGCGCAATTGGTGCAAAGTGTAATTGTCTGATTGTAGAATTATTACTTGAAAATTAATCGCTTTTTATCTTTTCTGTTTCTTTTCGATTTTATATTATATATATTTAGACATCTCCTTAAAAGTTCGAATTTTAAAAAAGTCTTACTTTAGACATTATGTCATGTATATCAGAGGTATTGCATTTATTGTATTTGCAAAGACACATTTGCATGCGTTGCAAGCTCTTGTAATAAATCGAATTACGCGTATTTCCCTAATTTTTTTTTGTGTTTTAATATTTCTAAACAAGATAAAATGCAACTACTATTCATAATGCCTTCAATTAAATTCAGTCCTCATGTTTCGTTCCTAAGAGTAATAGTAGGATTTAGTTTTGACTCTCATTGACTTGCACTATCTCTCGCCGCTCTTAAAGATGAGCCATCTAGACGCGCGCAACTTAGGTGCGTAATATTTTGTTACTGAAGCGTTGTACAAAAACGATAGAAAGAGAGAATCATACTCCTCTGAATCGATTGATATGATTCTCTTTAAATTTTTTTAAATTATAGTTATAAATAAAATCATTTGAAAAAAAATTGCAATAAAAATCTTGGTAGAACTAAAAAAAATACTAAGAAAAATTTCAATATAATAGAATCAGGAAGGTATAAATATACATTTCATAGTATGTTCCAACCCATCATATTCACAATATAATCGGTTTCTATAAAATAGACTAAACCTTAATTACGCGCGGCCAAAAAGCAAGCGGCAAGATGTGATAATGGATGTCAGTTTGAAGATCAAGTCAAAAGTCACCACTAAATTCCATAGTTGATGGTTAAAGCGTTAAATGAATGTTTGCGTCATAAAACGTACTGCTAATAATTTTGACGTTCTATATATAGTGCGAACTACATATATACAATTGATTACAAACAGCACGGGGTTTCCTTGGTTTCGCGACGACGGCAATGAGAGGTATATGGGAGTCGACTGGTAAAGAGAAATTATTGCTGCTAAATAGAATAGATATACCTATGAAAATGATAATGATATATATCATAATAATAATATAGTAATGTGACGCTACAGTAGTAGCAATATACATTAGAACGTCGTCGAGATACCGTTTACGCGTTGATGACGATCGTCTGATACTGCATTTTGTAGCGGGACAGGAAGCACTCGCGTTTATTTGTATGGAGAAAAGAAAAGAAGAGGAGAAGTAAAGAGGCAACCGGCAGAACCTACTTTTCATAGTTCGTTGCTCGGGGGGCATTGATTATGAAATGACATTATTTGTGAATAATAATAATAATAATAATAATGATGATAGAGCAATAATTATAATAATTAATAATTAATAATAATAAAAATAATTATATTAATAATAATAATATAATAAAGTAAATCTATAATAACAAAGTTGCATCCAAGTATAAATTAAACGAAAACATTTCTTGTGTAAGCATAAGAAAGAGTTTTTAGCGCTTATATACAGAATGATATCGATTTTCGAAAACCACGTCAGTTTGTAGGCGTTTGCATTCTTTTTTGTAATTATTCATTTACGACATCTACGTCGAAGCGACGCGGGGTCGGTGTTTTCCCGTCGAGATTCGCGGACTTCTACAATTGTTTAAACCATTTTCAGGCGTGTGTTCTCGAACGAAATGTCACAAACAAAATGTCAAAAATGTCTCTCCGAGAAATCACGCGGCCCGCGCGAGCGTTTCGACTTCCGCCTCTCACGCTATTTTCTTTCTCTTTCTCTCCATTCGTTCATTCATTTAATCATTCAATTCATTCTTCTCTCTCACGCGTTTTTATTCTTTGCATTTTTATTATTATAGCATATTTTTTAATAATAGTAAATATTTCTATATGCAATAATTACCACACTTTTTAACGTAGTATTACAGTTATCACATTTTTTTTGTTGGGAAAGGGCAATACATACGAAATAAATCGGCATCACTATAGCTCTGTCGTTCGCGCCGAAGTGAGTCTGTCTCTCTCTCCTCGTCGCGATCATGGGTGTAACATATATATCATTAAATATGTAACATATACACGTGTAAAAAAAATGAAAGGCAGAAGTCAACGAGCCTCGCGACGAGAAAGAAGTGTTTTCTTCTATTCAAGAAGAAAGGGAACTGCCAGTCAGAAACCGACGTAAGTTCCGGACAATTCGAACACACGAAATGTATATTTTTCTTCTCGGTGTGTGTGTGTGTGTGTGTGTGTGTGTGTATGTGTGTGATCTCCCGTGTATTATGTATATATTTTATAAAATATATACATATAAAATATATCTATACTTATTTTATCATACACTTATTTTGCCCAAACGCAACACATACTCAATCACACTTATTTTCTCTCATTATTGTTCAGTTGATTCTTTTCAACTTTCTCTCTCACTCATTCATTCATTCTCTCTTTTCCTCAGTATCATCATCTTGTCATTCTCTCTTATCTTTCATACCGTGTAGCCTATTAGTGAATTATGGAAGACAATCAAAATTTACAAAAGGCACTCACTTGTGCGATCAGACGGTCGCTATTGCACTGAAAACAGCGTCGTTGTGTGATTTTTTTCAAGCGTTTTCTAAAGAGAAAAAATCTAACTATTATCTGGTCGCTTCGCATACGATTGATAAAATAAAAGAGAAAAAAAATCCTAAAACTATTCTACAGTCTCTGCTTTACAGTCCATTTATGAAAATTGTCAGAAACAAAATCTTTTGTTCTAGCAAGAGTATAGATGTTGGTTTTAAAACAGGGTAACAATCGTAGTACGGAAGCATTCTCACGTTATGCAAACATAATAAAACAAGCGAAATTGGAAACATATTGTCATGAATTTACGCTGTCGATCGGTCTCGTTTATCCGCGATGCGCTAAATATGTCCTGGGATCAACGAGATCGACTGCAATAAAAACGATAGTCACGATAAAATGTTTAATCCAGAAATGTAATTTTATGATAACCGCTTTTGCGGCGAACGGCGCCGTTTGCAGTGCATTAATTGGCTTCACGCGTCTCTCTCTCTCTCTCGTTCATTCATTCACTCATCCACTGACTCTCACTCACCCATTCACTCTGCGATACACCCTCTTCCATTCGTTCTTTCACTTGCTCGCTGGAGTGCTTATTCTCACCTCTCCTTTCACTCTCGAGACAACTTTCCCCACCCTTCCTCCTCTGGAGAAGAAAAAAAACGTAATCGTCTATGTTATTTGGATATTGCAACATTTTACCTGCCCCGGATTTAGCGACGCCGCTGCGTTTGTAGCTCGAAAATCCAACAGAAGAAGACGATAAATGTGGATTCGTAGGGACCGGAAGGCGGATAATGAGGATCTACCAAGTGAGATCAATGAACAACTTGCTCGGAGGAAAGTCACGTTTCGGAATAAATTTGCGCTTGGTAGCCTCAATCACCTACTGATCTATCTACAGATCCCTCTCCCTCTTTTCTCATACCATTCTCCAACCATTTTCATATTCGGGCATAAACGAGCGGACTGAGACTTCCGGGCTGATCTCACTTTTCTGCTAAAAAAAAAGTCACTCGCGTCTAACGATATGCGTCGAATTCTAAGAATATGAGAAAGAAGAAAAAGAAAGAATATAAGATGATAAATATGTATCGATAATAATATGATAATATAATATAGTAATATAATAATATATTACAATAGTACGATGATATATATGAAGATTATGATTATCATAATATATAAAAAAAAGAAGAGGAAAATGCTAGTTCAAGGGTAATGAAACCTGACGTGTGCCTAAAATGCTTCTCAGGAATACGGCCGATGACGGATAAGGGAGAACCGCGTAACGTAACCGGCAAACTTTTTTTACCGCATGCGTAAAAAAGAAAAAAGACGTTAATTCTCCACCGGCAGAATCCACTGCGGAGAAGCTATCGCTCAAATCTCGAGTCAGTCCACGTGAAAACTCCTTCTTTTTCAATTCCGAGCGCGAGACTCGTCGAGAATTCGCGTCTCCCTTCTTTACGGTTCGCGCGGCGACCGATCTAGATCTTGAGGTTATCGAAGTCGCCCAGGGTGCTGCTGATCCTATTAAAGACCGGCAACCTGGATTCCGTGTTAGGTGACAACGGGGAGGGGGTTCGGGGTGTTACCTCGTCGGAGGCGAGGGGACTGCATACGCCATTATTGCGCGGGCTTGGGCTCTGTCTTGAGCAGGCGAGCAGGCTGAAGTCCTGACCAAAACTGAACGGCGTCGTCTGCAGATTCGCGCACGAAACCGTTTGCTGGTCGTCGCTGAAGAAGCTCGCCATCGAGTTCGTCGGCGACTGACTGAGGCTAGACGACGGCGACACTGAATCGGCAGAACTGCCGAGCGAGAATGTCGGGCTGAGATTGAGCGGTTTCGGCTTCGTCGCCCCGATTACCAAATTCACGGTGTTCATCTGATGATGATGTATCGCGGGATGATTCGTGCCCAGGTTCAGCGACGACGCTCGCAGCAACGTCTGATTGAAGTTGTTCGCGCTGGTTGCAGTGGTACTGCCGAGGCTCAACGAGTTCGCTCGCAAGAGGTTCGATGTAGTAGTGGCGGTGGCCACCGCAGCCGCGGCCACGTGCGACGACGCGGCGAGTTGCTCGAGCAAGCTGACGTTGACGCTGACGTTATTCGCAGTGGCACTGTTGTTCGCGGCGGTGCCATTGCCGGACACTACCGCGGCGGCGGCGGCCGCGCTCATCAGCGGATTCAGGCCCACGATGTTGGGCTGTGTCGAGCCCAGCTGGGCGCTCACCTTTTGATTGTGTATACGCGCCTCCTCGAAATTGTGGATGAAGTGGCAGCGTGGTCCGTACGGGCAAAAGCCAATCGTGTGGAAGGTGCGGCACAACTCGGTCTTGTACTTTGGATGACGCGCCAAGTTGCGCAACTCGCCGTAGCCATGCGCGAATTGGCATTTATCGCCGTACTTACACGAGCCACTCTCCTCATACGGCCGGCAGAGCTCCGTTTTGTAGCGCGACGTCGGTTCGCTCACGCTACGATCCAGTTTTCGATGCTGCTCGATTAATGTGGTCATCAAGGAGGTGTAGCTGCGTTTCAGAGGCGCGTGCCCGTTGCCGACGTTGTTGCCGTTGGTGGTACTGCCATTCGTGGCGCTCGTCGTCGTTGGAGACGACGGAGGTTCCTTCGCCTTAGTCGAAGCTGCATTCTGTAAACAGAAAGAAAGGAGCGTGTTCGATTAACCGTACAACATTTCGAAATTGCAGTTGTTTACGCGCGACAGACGCGATGATAGACGCGTTATCGGGATGGACGGAGAGATGCCACGCGAGTAATTTGATGCTTGAAATGGCGGCGCGGATGATAACCGAGGCATGGCGATTTGGCGACGTCATCGCGGCGACGAGATAGCGTGTCGAACCAACCGCGGCAGCGGCGGACTGTCGCCGCTGGCATGATCGTTCGTTTCAATGGGGGACTCAAACAATACGTCGTTTGCTAGAAAACGCTAAGCAAACGTTGCGACAGTGACTTATGCAAGTGGCAGATGAACTTTGGGGAGATTCGAAAGTGCTGAAAATTGATAATTATACCTAAGTACAACACGCTTTAATTCGACTTTTACTTTGTTTTTCAAGAAATTTCTCAATGCATACAATGCACTAATATTTGTGTTTGTGTCGCGATTGATATGATCACATTAAATTAAGTGATGTGTGCTTAATACAATAGAATATATTAATCATATATATTATTCCACAATTGTTAATATATTATAATATTCAATATTATTCTACTATATTACGTGAATATCACTTTTGATAATTGTTACAATATTAATACGAATTGCAAAATTAAAACATGTTTCTAAAAATAAAGTAATTATCGTGAAATTAAAGATTAATTTAAATTAGTAAATATTTATAGAAATCATGATTAGCATTATTTGTATTATGATATTTATAAAAATAATAGTATGCAATTACTTTTATGTAAAATTCAATACAATATGAAATATCGTCAACAATTTCAAGATTATTATCACAATTAAAATAATGAACAAATCCTTTTATCGAGCGCAAAACGATAACACAGTTCAACGCACTAAAATGGATTTTAGCACAGGCATATCAAAAAACCTCAATAAGATCTCATTTATAAGTTCTTATCTCTCCTTATGCAGCGTAATCGATAGATAATAGAAAATAGAAAATAGATAAAATCGTAATGTATCTCAAGTGATGCCACTTCAATTGCTATGGCAACAATTCGTGCCACAAAAAAATTTTTTTTATTTATCCCAGATCTTTCCTCCAATCGTGTACGATATTTTCCTTAATTACTTCGACAGTAAAAATAAAGATAAGTTGATAATCGTAGATGTTAGATTTAAGGAACAATAAGTCTCTAAAAATGATAAATAACGATAAACGAAAAGTGACCAAGTGAGTTAGAAGGTTACAATCTTTCGAATCACTTAAAGTAAAAATTTTTATTATTTTGAACAGGAATTTTATTCTTTTTATTATTTTGTGAGAATCTTTATTGCAAAAGTCTTTACTCGACAACATTCTTATTTTTAAGCCGAGCTGAGCGAGAACTTTTATAAATTACTTAATTCAACGCAATACGATAAACTCATAGTATTTTAATTCGTAACTATCTTTCTATTGCAGCAAGTGTATTAGATGTCAAACTATATTATTTTCCACATATGATCTTGGAAAAATAGAAGATCGTTTACGATTAAAAAATAAGAAAATGTTTATCAAACAACTAATTTAATTTTGATATGACATGTTTCACTATTAAGAATAAATTATGCAACATGCGTATCTAATAACTAAGAGACAGTGTCATATGAATATCATATTAGAGCGATTCATTCATTATGTTGTCGACTCGGTACGGTCTTTCACAAAGATTGATGCGTACGAAGGACGAAATGCGTCGTCCATCCTATTTCCCGGAATCACGTGTAGTTTCTCTTAGTGACTGCAATTACTATTATCGTCAAGCGACTACGCGCTTTTAAAAGTCATGTCCGACTAACTCTGATTCATCGCATGAGATGTATCTCTTCGTGGAAAAAAAACAGCTTTATCATAAATTATGTGGCGCCAACTTTATATGGGTGTCTAAGGCGCTTTTTGAATTTACACAATGCATCTCAAGAGAGCATTGAGAAATCTCTCTCAGTATACGTTCAGAATTAAACAATTTTGAGTCGAGTGAAGAATAGCTAATGTTAAAAATAGCAAAAATTAATAATCGTAATATCAATAATCGTAATGTACATGGAAAATTTCAGAATATTATGTGACCATCAGTGGCGTGATTAGTCATATGTTAATGATCTTTTTCAACATTTACGCAATGTTGCGAGCTGATGATACGATAAGTCACGTAAAGTATGAGAGTACAATAATCACAGTAGCCTGACTAAAAAAAATAACTTGAGCGAGACGTGACCGCGTACAAAAAACACGTAGCGATAAATAACCGATCAAATAATATGGATGAGGCGAGTCGACGTCAGAGAGCACCAAGATTCATAAATTTTTTTTTCAAGAGTTCGTTAAAGGAATCTATTAAAAATGCATATCTGCGTAGGATCTTTGCGTCACTTAATCGACATTAATCACACATAGAATAACATGTCTAATATCTTCCACATCTTGCTTTTTTTTACGAGAGCAATAATTATTTTACCACGTCTAACACTATCCATTTTAGAACGTCTAGATCCTATATCACGAAGATTTTATTATCGTAGATCAGCTGAGCTTTCAATAATATCACGCGCAATCGGTATAGGCGTGATTATATCGAGATTTTATTATATTGTGGATCAGAGATCAGCCAATAGTAATTGTTCCTCTTAGCCGTAACTTTGATGTAGAAGACAATGAAAACGGGACTTCGATAGTGAAATATCACGGAAAAATCGAACGAGCAGCAGCAGCAGAGTGCCTATTAAACTTTTAACACGGCTTTGTATATTATTAGATCTTATCATAGGATTTGTTCCCCGATAAAAGAGATGATTAAGTCCTTGCCCTTCCGTGTTAGCTGCAAGTTAAGGCTTTCTTATTCTATATATGTAATCAATTAGTTATACATTAAAAAAAAAACTATGTAAAAAAATATGTAAATGATTGATTTAAGTGATGAACACTGTTAATATGTTATTGACATTATCTGTCTGCTTTTCGCAAGTTTATCATGCTCAGATTTTGCTGTCTACTACAAGCAATTTATTGTCAATAAACGGCGAATACTACGGTGAACTATGAAATGACCATCACGCAACTTTCTTCCGTCCCGTTGAAATCGACATACCCATCTAATTATTAGTTACGCGCTCGATGACGTATAATGCAGAAAAATTCCGACGTTTTCTCGAGCGAGTAAGATCGCACGCGGGAGCTTCACGAGAGTTTGGAAATTTCCACCAGCACGTACGCATACGTGCCAGAGCAAATTTGTTTGTTTCATTTGTGTCAGTATGCGAGAGCAGAGCACACACACACACACACACACACACACTACACGCACGCGCGCATGTATCCCGCGCACACTTCTTCTCATAATTATTCCCACGTAGCCGCCGTATATTGAAGTGTGTGTGTGTTTATCATAAGATTCGTAAGCGCACGATCGCTCGGTAATCGTTCGCACGCACACGCGCACCCATTTTATCGTTCACGCGTGCGCGCGTACGCGTGATTACGAGTATGCATAAATCTTCGCACCGCGCCATGCACATACACACACTGACAAGGATATATCGCGTATCTAATCACGCCGGTTTGCGCACTCTCCCCGGAAGATTATTGTCTATTTTTGACATTTAACACAGTGATGTTAAGGCAGATTCATGCTGCAGGCTCAGAATCAATCTGGCCATAGAATGATCAAGATTGCAAAAGTAGAAAACTCATATCAATCAATTTATATTTATCAATTTATGTTTTAAAAAAAGCAAATGTTAAATTTCTTTGAGAGAAATTAAAATTACAAAGAAATTTTTGTTATTTATAATCGTTACGATTTATAACATATAATTATTTTACTTGACAGCCATAATAAAATTGTGTTAGATCAAAGAATTAGCAAGAGATGATCATTTTCAGTGCAACCTATATGCTACTTTAAATATTGCTGTCCTAAAAAATTGTAACTGTCTAATTAATTCGTTAAAAAAAATTTTAAGATAATTTTCGATAAATCCTTCACATGTTCTCAAAATAAAATAATATATCAAGTTTTTTTGAAAAATAAGCATATATTATAATACATTATAATAATTATATTGACCTCTTTTCAGCAGAAAGTTTATTTTAAATTTCAAATAGCCAACTAGTTAAACAAGCTTAAACATTTTCATAAATTTTGATTTCTAATAAAACAAATAATTAATCTTAAAAAATTCCTTATGTAAATTCTTTACATATGTGTATGAAAACGTGTAAAATGTATGTAGATAATCTTTTTATAAAACGAGAAGAAAAAAGAAAGAGAATTGGTTTAAAATCTTTTTCCGGAAATAGATCTTTTTCCGCCTGTTAAAAGTATCGTATATACTTCTAGCGCAGACTTTTGACTGTGTATGTTACGTAGCGTCTATGGTGAGAGGAAGCACCGCCTATATCGGTAAGAAAAAAAATAAACCGGTTGGATTTTCTTCGTAGATGTTGCGATCCTACAAAGCCAACGACGTATGGTTACGAGCGACGTTTCCTCCACCATCATCGATGAATCACTATAATAGACTGACTCGTCCCGAAAAAGCCGCGGAGTTAAACTGTGTTTTCAATTATTCGAAGACGAATGTGCGACTCCGCGAATTTAATTTTTACTCACGTTGCGACACGCGCGGCGAGTTCATTCATCCATTTTGCTGACGAAACGTAAGGCCGATAAAAACAGGGTCTATTTTTAAACCCATCCTGGGATATAAAGCAGCGCTACTTGAACTTGAACCAAATTATTTTCAAGCAGAAAAAAATCACGGTGTTGTAAGATGAGAGTGTGCATTTAGAGTACTCTTTCTTTTATGGAAAATCTATTTTGTCTTCAGAAGTTTTATATTTTATTAATAATCTTTATTTTTCACGAAAAGATATCGCTGGTATTTTGTTTATCTTGCGTTTTATCATATAATTACTTATCGATTTTTACTGAATGTCAATACCAGACTTTGAA